CTTAAAAATACAGACTGTGTCTGCCTCCCGGACCCCGGCTGGAAGGCGATTCCGGAGGAGAGGAGCCTGATAACTGAAGGCTTTACCTCCCATAGTACACTTAGAGACTGTAGGTACCACTAGCAGGCCTGCATTCTGGGACCGTAATGTTCTCGAGGGACAGTACGGCCCTAGTAGCTCCTTAAGATAAGATGGTGCCTGGCCATTTAGAGCTTTGTAAGTGAGAAGAAGGATCTTGAATTCTATTCTAGACTGTATAGGGAGCCAGTGCAGAGAAGCCAGGACAGGAGTAATGTGGTCCCTTTTCCTAGTTCTAGTCAGTACACAAGCTGCAGTGTTCTGGACTAGTTAAAGAGTCTTTAGAGACCCACCATAGCACCCCGATTAAAGAGAATTACAATAATCCAATCTGGAGGTAACAAATGCATGAACTAGTTTTTCTGCATCATTTTGCGACAGGATATTCCTAATCTTGGATATATTACGAAGGTGAAAATAGGCTGTTCTTGAAATTTGCCTGATGTGAGAGCTAAAGGACATATCTTGATCAAATAGAACTCCTAGATTCCTAACAGTGGTGTAGATGCCAGGCTGATGTCATTAAGAACAGTCAAATCACTAGAAAAAGTCTCTGAGGTTTTTAGGGCCTAGCACAATAACTTCAGTCTTGTCTGAGTTAAGTAGCAAAACATTTCTGGTCATCCAGGTCCTAACGTCCTTAAGGCACATTTCTAGCTTCCATAACTGACTGGTGACATCGGGCTTCATTGATACATAAAGCTGAGTATCATCTGCATAACAATGAAACTGTATGGAGTGTTTCCTCATAATATTTCCCAGAGGAAGCATGTATAATGTAAAGAGAATTGGTCCAAGCACTGAACCTTGTGGCACTCCATAGCTAACTTTGGTGTGCATAGAGGACTCATCATTAACATGTACAAACTGAGATCGGACTGATAAGTAGGATTCGAACCAACTTAAAGCAGTCCCTGTAATTCCCAGTAAATGTTCTAGTCTGTATAATAGGATCTGATGGTCAATAGTGTCAAAAGCAGCACTAAGATCTAACAAGACGAGCACAGAGAAGTCCCCTGTCTGAAGCTAGAAGTAGATTGTTTGTAACTTTAACTAGTGCAGTCTCAGTGCTATGGTGGACTCTAAATCCTGACTGAAACTCCTCAAATAAACTGTTGTCATGGAGAAAGTCACACAGCTGATTAGCTACCACTTTCTCCAGGATCTTCGAGATAAAAAGGAGGTTGGATATAGGCCTATAGTTAACTAAAGTTCCTGAATCTAGAGCAGGTTTTTTGAGTAGAGTTTTGATTACCGCTACTTGACTGTGACTACTATGACTGTGGTACATAGCCTGCCAGTAAAGACATATTGATCATATCTAATATAGAGTTGCTAACTAAGGGAAATACTTCCTTAAACAGCTTGGTTGTGACTGGGTCTAAAAGACAGGTTGACGGTTTCGACGCAGAAATAATTGGATTTAGCTCTGAAAGGTCGATTGGAGAAAAACAGTCTAGACTAATATCTGGTCCTGGAACTGTCTCTGCCGCATCAGACGTATCTGCACCAGGTAAGGGCAGGAGGTTACTAATTTTGTCTCTAATGTCTAGAATTTTGTTGTTGAAAAAGCTCAGGAAATCATTACAGTAAAGAGTGAGAGTCGACTGTTTAGGTGTACTGTCAGGTAGGATTGTACATTTATTGGTGTATGGACTTTTACATATATCATAGATTTTTACAAAACATTCTTCAATATAGCATCAATTATAAAACATGTTGTCGAATGAATGACCTTCACAGGAATTTCTTTATCTTTACCTGAAATGAAAAATCTTAATCAGCAGCAACAGAAGTAGTTCAAAAAATCTGACAAGAAATGGTATGACTCTAGGTACTCCTGTTGTTGAGTCATCACTGTAGTCACATTATGCTTATCTTAATCTCAGCTCGTCAGATATCAACATGTCTGTTTTATCTAGTATATTACACTTTATTTCACCCAGAACTCACCCACACATACAATTCCATTCCTTTGGCATCAAGGATGTGAAGATACAAAATGGATATAGAAATAGAAAACCTTTATTGCCATTATACGATTGTACAAAGGCATTAGAGACATGGCTCAATAAAGTAAATCTTAATCTCTATTAGAAATACTAAACTAAGTGCACAAATATGTAAGCATCCACAGCTACAAACAACTTAGCTACAAATACACTGTACTGTAAACGCTCTATGTACAGTATACATCACATCACAGAACCTACATGTATTCACTTAGTTATGAATATAATCTGAACCCCCTTCATTCTCCATCGTCTTGTTTTTACCTGTCTGTTTGTTTCAGGGAAAATTCAGAGCTTAAACATTAGCAGATCGTTCAATCAGTGATAGAACAATAACTCAGTATCTAAAGACAACAGATTATGTTTTAAGATAGGACATGGCCAAATTGTAATTACTACCATGTATTTTTTTATTACCGGTAAGTAAAGAACTGAAGAACAACCACACCAGGTTGTCACATTAGAAATTAAGAAAACAAACTGTAATGGTTTATCCTGCAGAGAGTTCCCACTCTATAGTTGACCAAAACACTGCTTTATATTCATCAGACTTTATATTTTCTTTTATGTTAGTTTAATTTAGCACCTTTTAAGTTATTGATCTCTACCAGTCACCAACTGGAGATATATGGCTTTTGAGCTACATAATGGTCCGCTTTGTTCAACAGCTAATGATTAACTGTGTGTTTCTGCTCTTTGGTACTGCACATTTAGTGTACAAGGTGGTTTAAGAGTGATTTCACTTAAAACAGCTGCTTGCTGTGGGGAAAGAATTATGTAAATGCACACTAAAGTTGCAGACCGGAGAGCTAAACGATGAGGGTGAATCTTGTTTTAAAGCTCCTTAATGTTAAATGTGAGTTGCAGATTCAGGAGGTATTTCTTCTTGGTTCATTATTTGATTCATTATATAATGAACCTGTAACCGGAACCTGTAACCTGACCTGTAACATGACCCATCTCATTTCACACACACTTCCCAGCGTCACTTGAAGGGTGTATCTTGGCTCGCTGACAATCCAACATGGCATTTCACAATCCAGCCAAACAGGGGAAAACCCGAAATGTCCTACTTAAGAGAGAGCCGTCGTGCAGTCTATGTCACACTCTCACTGAATTCCCTCAGGCACTTCAAGACAGACACTACAGACTCACTCTGCACCAACCGGCAAGGCAAGGACATTAACTGAGGAACCATGACAAGCGGCAGAGTGTTTCTCCTGGCAGCCCTGTACTCCTTCTTCATCCTGACTACCTTTATTGACAGCACAGAGTCAGGTGAGTCCTTCAGCTATTATATACTGTACTTACACATCCCTTTCAAAGCAGATGCATTTTGGGTAAAGCTGTCACTGTTGAACATGCAGTATCTAGGAAAGTAAAGCTTTAACAAACTGGATGTAAACAAAAATAATGTTGAACTTTCAGTGAAAAAAAGTGAAAAAAATGTTGTTTAAATGTGTTTTCCATAACGTATAGTTCTTCACAATCTGATAATGTCTGTGTGTCTTTATAGCCCGCTGCTGCCTGCAGTACTCAAGAAAACATTTGAAATGCAGCAGAATGCTGGGCTACACCATCCAGACCAACACCGCTTCCTGTGACATCGAGGCCGTTATGTGAGTCCCAATACTGCAAATTACGAGAGAAGTTTTAGCATTAATTAGATTAAAACAATCAACCAGGCAGGAACCTGATGTGTAGTATGACCAGTGTGCTTCTGTATCATGTTAAAAAAAAGTCTGGACAATCAAGTTTACATCCAGGTATTTGTGGCATGCAGAAAATTGTACTAACGTTTAAGCTAAACTGAAGTACTAATGTTTTTCATGTAAACAAAGTTAGTATGGCCAAAAAACAGAAAATATATTGTAAGAAACCAGGTGAAACAGTGGCTAATGCTCATTATGGTGAGATTTCTTCAAATTAATGTGCATAATATGCTGTGTGTGTGTGTGTTACTAGCAAATTGGCCTTCATTTAGATTCACTATGGAAACGTGATTTAAAAATGTAAAAACCCAGTGAAAGCTAAGATAAGTGTGTTTGTCAGATTTGACTGAAGTGCAAATACATAAATCCTGACTCATAGCAGTCATCAGATACGACTCTACATGGCTTGTTTATCTTAATTGAAAACTTCCCAGCACATCTTTCCCAGTTAATATTTGACCCAGAAACAATCATGAAGGGACTCAGGAATTTGTGAGAGCAGCTAGTTTGGGAGGTTAGTAAATGTGTACCTGAGACACACTGGTAGGGGGTCAAACAAACAAGCTGACACTCTGGAATGAGAGCACAGGGAGGAAACGTTACTCTGCAGTATATGAGGAGTACTCATGATCATTTTTCCCTGTTTCCTGGATTCCACAGTTTCCACGCCAAAGGGAAATTTATCTGTGCTGACCCATTGTCCAGCCACACCCAGAAGTTGAAGATGTGCATTGAGTGAGTATTCCCATCCACTGTACTTCTGGTTCTCTTAACTATGGGTTAGAAAATGTATGTAATATTGTGTTTTTATTTTCTTTGCAGTGGAAGACGATCTAAAAGCGCCTCAAACAGGAAACCAAAATAACCTCTGCATCAGCTTAAACCTTCGACAACAGTTCATATGACGCCTGAACCATATCTGCTTTGGATAATGACACACTTTCTACACTTAATTAGCATGAGTTTTGGTATGTTTCCTATTTATATTTAATCTGTTTTATAAACAGGGACGTGTAGTATTCTTAATACAGCCTAAACTGAATGCTGAACTTTCAGTGCTTCAAAACAAAGTAACAAATATTTATTCTTTATCTATTTTTTTTTGTGTAAATGGTTATTTTATAGTGTTTGGATGTCAGAGAACTGGAGTAGCAATCACTGTATGCAGTTAAAAGTGTGGACGTTTGATTGTAATATATATTGTTAAATAATTTATTAAAACACATTTTTGATTCAACATGTGTCAGTCATTATGGGTTCCACATCATACACCATGACCCCAATCTGGGGGCAATTTCACAACCATAAAACATTTTTGCATGAAAAATTGAAAAAAAACAAAAAACATTTTCACATTATTATAGGACAGATTTACAAATCTGTAAGGTTTCATAATGCTTCATGAAGATGTGTCAGTAAAAAGCAGGGTCACACATTTGATCTGTGACATCTTACTCAAAAAAAAAAGAATGTTGTCTCACTTATAATATGCTATATAACAAAGACAATAAAATACATTTAAACAAGAAAATGTAAGCCCCTTATTGTGTGGATAAAAAGCTTAAAGGCAGAATGTATGATTTTTTTTGATCCAGTAGATGTCACCCTTGAGCACCAGCATTAAACCAAAACAAACTGCTGTGTGGGGACACCTCCAACCCTCTACCCTAATGTTTGCACAAAGGAGTTATCAAATTGAAACGCACCATAACTAAGCGATAAGCCCAAGCGGTGGACTAAATTGTCCTTGTCTCGAGCTGCGTTGTTGTGTTAATGGTAGCTGTCTTTAGTTTGCTTGTAGCTTCACATTGCATGCGAATTTACATGGAATGACCGTGATCTAAAAAGGCTTACTACATTCAAATAAGCGGTGAGCACAGTATGTTATTCTTCTTTTCCCTAGTCCCTCACTTTAACAGCTTTTACATGCAAGGGGATGAGCAGGCTTGTAGCATGCTGCCTGCAGAAAAGTCCCCTGTAAAGTTACTGTGGACTTCTTATGCCAACTGAAATAAACACCGGTACTTCAGATTTGTAAAATAACGCTCTTCCTAGTATATTTTCTGCTTCTTCTCGGCATGGCTATGGTCACACATGTTGTCCATCATAAATCTAGATCAACAGGCTAGCGTATAGCATATCTGCCTCCAGATGTTGATAGCGGTTGATGCTACGTTGCTGTGATTGGTTAGGTTCAGACATTGACAAACCTCATTATTGTAGTTCTCCTTTATCAGCTTGTCCTAGTAAGTCTCTTATTACTAACATAAACATACTAACGATAAATGTTGTTCTTGTTGTTACTGTTTGTCCCTGTCCTTATTTTCCCTGCCACTGTAATGTTGCATCTTTTATAGAAAATATTACATAGTAAGGTGTTTTACCGGCTCTTTTGTAAAGTGTCATTTTCTATGAATTGGCGCTACACAAGTAGAGATTGATTGACTGGTTGACTGACCATTAGGAATGACTCTTCCTGCTACTCCATTCTAACCAGCCACCCCATCACCGAAACCAAATCCAATGCTTCCTTCTGTGAGAACACGTCAGACATTGACAATCTTCTACTGTGAGGTGCACAGGTTAAAATATCAGAGACTGATTATCCTGAAATTATCTAGAAAATCTCAGACGTTCAAATGTGAAAGAAGCCTTTGTAATGCCCCAAGTTTTAAAAAGAAAAGTCTTAGAAGTATGTGTCAGGGCAGTTCAAAGAAGTGAAGGACACTGGCCGTGAACATGATTCAGAATAGATCGTTTTTCCTCTTTTCATGGTTGGTCCACAACATTGAGCAGAAACCGGTCCTCGCCATGGTCTTCTCTGGTTTTCAGAGCCTGGCGGAGTTTCTCCCAGAAGAGGTTGGTGTTCTCCTCTGCTCGCGGCCAGCTCAGATAGGTCTGTCTCTTCAGCAGCTTCCTCATGCGATAATAAGGAGACAGCTGAGCAGTGGGAATCTCCTCTAGAAACACGAGGATCAGAACGTCTTTCTGCTCATCAAACAGACGGAAACTGGACGGAGGGAAAAGACAGAAAGAGGAAGAACATGAGGCAGTCACTTACCATATCCATACTGTCATTGCAGTTTCTCTATTATTTTCATTACACCATAATGTCTAAGGTTCTTATGAGTATGACTGAGTATTACATTTCACTGCACATCTGTATGAGCATGTGACAAATAAAAATCTTGAATCTTGAAAAAATCTTGAACTATGAATCCCAATGAGACACAATTTTCTTGTCCTATCAGCAGACTAATACCCCAACAAATTTCAATTCATGATCAAGATTTTAAGACAGAGAAAAGCAGCAAATCCTCAATCCAATTTAAATCTGACAGAAATTTAAGTGTTAAAACAGCTTGTGGCTTGAAGCACTTCCTATCAATTTTTATTAAAGATTTGGTCCATTTAGATAGAAACATGATTTCAGGCTTAAGAAATAAAAAATCATTTTGGACTTTAATCCCTTAAAATCACAAGATTAAAACCAGTGATTAAACAACCTGAGTAGATGGCACATTACCTGGCCAGTGTCATTTCTCTGGAGCACCACTCACTCTCGAGGTATCTTTGGCTGATCACACAGATTGTCTTCCTGCTTCCATAGATGGCATCAGCGATGTTGTCCATGATCGGTTTACCTGAAAATTAGATTTTTTAAAAATGGAACAGACAAGTGAATAAATGGGCTGCTCCTCATGACTTCCTCTGATGGTGTTTAAGAATACAACGGCGACACCTTCTGGAGTAAAGACAAAAGTACAAAATAAAAACATCTGTTTTCCAGGTTCCTTTTTTTTTATTTTCTTCCAGTTAACTCAAAAGTCCACAACAGACTCTAAAGATATGTAAAACGAATGCTCTATAATGCACAAGGTATCCTCATAAACAGAAAGGGCTGGAAAAATTGAAGTTTAAGAACACTAAAACTTGAGGATTATTTTTTCTAAATCTGGACATTTACGATTCCATGGCCACTTTTCATATTAATATAAGAATTTAACCTTTTTTAAATGTTGTATTATGTAAAATCTAAACAACCAAGTTCATGGCCCCCTGCACAATAATGAACTGATCTCTGAAATAAGTTGGCTCTGGTCTACACAGTTTCAAAAGAAATACAGTATTGAGGTTATCTGCTTTACTACACCACACACCATAAGAACTTAACTATTAATCCGTCATGCTTTGTCATCATGTGTGGGGTCTCTCAATCGTTTAAGATTTTAGCTAATTAGGCCTTAGCTAATTTTAGAAAGGCTTCAAAGTTAACTTTTGCTATGGACCGACTCTAACTGTAGATTCCAATGGACAATTTGTCTAGTGGAGGTAAGAAAACATTAATAAGTCAATAAAGTAATATACAAATCTATACTTGTTTTTTTCTAATTATTGATTGATGACGTAAGTAGCTGTGTAATATATGATGGGATGATGTATAGTTAGCTGGTTGTGATCCTGAAATGGAACCGCGACACAGTGAGCAAGACCACTCCACTTAGTGTTGGGGTCGTGCTCACTCTGAAGGGTTCATTATGCCTTATTCAAGTGATTTAAATATGATTTAAATAATAAGAACATCTGAGTGGACTTTCATTCCAAGCCATCATATAGTTCAATAATTTCAGTCTGGACCAACCAACCTATTGACTATAACAGACTGACAATGCCATGCTACTCATAAAGAAAAAGCCACTTGCAAACTTTAGTAAATTAAGTCTGAATTCAGCTTGTCCATTAAAGCTCAACTGTTAAATGCCAAGTGTAGAGGTTTATCTTACCTGGCTCAAAGTCTCGGTGGTGCAAACACAACCTCCAGCCCTGCTCGTTTTCCAGTTTTGGCAGCAGTTCGCTGATGACCCATGGCTCATCGTGGGCATTGTAGGAGATAAAGGCATCATACTGGTCAGAAGCTTGCGTGTTTTTATGCTTTGAGTCGAAGAGAAAAGCCAAAAACACGTAATAGGCATATACTAACTGCAACCTCAGGAAGTGGTAGGTGAAGGAAACCATCATAAAAAGGAGGGTCAAACAGGTGGTGGTGATGAAGCAGTTGAATTCAATGTTCACTGAGCATGAGTGGATGTCCAGGTCCAACAGTTTTGTGCTGTTAAGGCTTGGAGGATAGTTGCACTTGAAGTTATAAGCATCAAAAACTTGGGTTTGGGTGTTTTTTACAGTCCAATTGAGAAACGCTGCGTTATCACAGTCACATTTGAAACTTTGGCCAAAGAGATCCAAATAAACGAGAGCTGGTAGAGAATTGATTTCTTCTTGACTTATGACTGAGAAAATATTCTTTCTTGCCTGCAGGAACTCCAGCTCAGTAAGTTTGGCATTTATGAGGAAATCTAGAGACCGAAGATTTATTCTAGATATGTAGAGGCTTTTCAGATTTTGAATTGGGGAAAACAAATCTGGAGTAAGGTCTGTAAGTTCATTTGAGCTGATGTCAAGCATTTGCAGACGAGGTGTGTGCTTAAACATATCTTTGTGGATGCTTAAAAGTTGAGAACTATGTGCATCAAAGCTTAAAAGGTTTGTCAAACCTTCCAGGAGGTTGCGTGGCAGCCAGGACTTCCCCCGGTGGTGTTGTGACGGAATAGCCAATGTTTCAGGTGAGTGAGCTTAGAAAATGGTGGATCAGGCAAGGCTAAGCTGTTTGCATAGCTTATGTGATTGTCTCTCAGATCCAATCTTTTTAAATTTGTCAGACCAGTGAACCAATTTTGTTTTAATGAATCTGTTTGAATATCATTGGATTGAAGCAGTAAAATAGTAAGATTGGTCAGCCCAATAAAAGAACCATTCTGAAAGACTTTTATTTGATTCTCATGCAATGACAAGTTCTGGAGGGACTTTAAACCATTCAGTTCCCCCTTTTTAATGATGGTAAGTTTATTTCCATTCAAATATAGTTGTCTAAGATTTGGCAAGTAGTTACTGAAAGCCTTGTTTAATCTAGAGATCTGGCAGGACTGTAGCTTTAAAACTTGGAGTCCTATTAAATCCTTAAAAGCAAACTCATTTAAAGCCGGGATTGGATTCTGATAAAGGTTGAGCTGTCTGAGCTTTGTCAGATTGGCAAAATCATTGCATCCAAGACTGCTGATTTTATTTGTGCTGAGATCGAGCTTTGAAAGGATTTTTAGATTCCTTGTGGCAGCTGGAACAGATGGAAGTTTGTTACGACCCAGACTCAAGTCCCTTAAACCTTTCAGCGACATGAAAGCCTCATCTTGGATTTTTTGTATTGAATTATCTGATAGATCTAACTCTGTTAGATGAATGCATAGGCTGAACAAATTTGAATGGATAATACTGAGTTTATTTTGTCTGAGCTGGAGTGTGGTTATTGTTGGGATGGTGCAGGATATGCTGATGAGCTCTGTGAGGTCATGTTTCATTTGATTCATCCTCAGAATTGTTAGAGAGGAGTTGAAGCTCTCTAGGAATGTTTTCCAGTCATCAGAAACCAGTTGAAGCCCACTTACGTCTAGAGTAGACACTCGACTAAAAAAAGTCTTGTTGCGTATGTCCCATATCATCTTGTTTTTAATAGTAGAACCTATGTTTAACCAGGTGAGATTTGGAAAAACATCTGCAGTGATCCTAAAGACTGCAATTGGATTTTGTGACAAATCAAGTGAAGCAAGCTCTAATGAGCTATTAGTCAATTCCCATGATTGAAAATGGGTTAAGTCGTTGTTTGTGATTACTAGACTTTGTAGATTTGGCAGTTGCTGTAGTAAAGAATGAACATTTTTGCTGCTGTGGAGTTTGTTGTGAGAGATGTCCAAAAATGTCAAGCTGGTCAAGGATTCAAAAGAGGTCGGCAGCACTGCTTTGATATGATTATGAGTAATTCTCAGCTCTGTGACGTTGCTCAAACCAACAAAAATATCATCTCCAAGTTTAACGAGTTTGTTACTATTAAGATTTAACTTCTTCAGGGAAATAAGATCCGCAAAGGCTCTTGGATCTATTTGTACAATCGTGTTGCCTTTCAGGTCTAATTCTGTCAAAACAGACTTTTTTCTGAAATCTGACGTTAGAATTTTTGTTATATTGTTTGAGGACAAGTCAATACTTTTCACTGTTGAGGGAATATCTTGAGGAACAGTTCTGAGTTTACCATCGACAGGCTTACAGATGGCGCTGTTTTGACTGATTCTGCAATCTCGAAGTGCAAACCCTGCAACCGGCACAACTGTACTGATGAAACACAGCAAGAGGACTATGAAGCGTAGTTCAAAAGATGTTGATCTTGCTTCTGTTTTTGTTTTGTCTTCTTTCATTTCAGGGCCCATTTTAAACAAGAAATGAAGTGTCTTAGCCAATAGTCCACTTGGTGAATGAAACAGCAAGGTAGTGCTGAAAACCAATGAAACAAAGAAATTACAAAAGGCAATAAATACTCAAAAATTACAACACGATAATAGTTTATCATCATATTTGCGTGCACTTTATCATAATGTAAACTAAGGTAGCTACAAAAGCATTATTTTAAACTTGGTAAACACTTTCAATACCTGGTTTTATCCTACAGCATAAAAAAAAAAGTCATATAGTCATCCTATATTGTGTGATTTCTTGTTTTAAATTCCCCAAATTAGCAGGAAACGTCTTGCCCCTGTCTAAATCGATTCAGGTGTTTTATGATATTATCGATCATTTAAATAAAGGAGATTGTGTTGTTTAAAAAAAAGAAGATTTTGACAACCTTCCTGGGAATAGATTAAACATACTTTCTTTAACCTTATTATAAAGTGTAAAGACAAAATACAAGGTGATCATTTATCAAACATCAATGACAAATAATGGTTTGTGATACTTACTGTGTCACACAAAGACGAGCTGATTTAACGGAGATGTCTCATCGACAGGATCTTGTTGTTTAATACCTTTTAATAAGTGTGATGATCCTCTCAGATCAAAAGAGATAGTAAGTACCAAGTGTAAGCGACCTCTGCCTGAAGTCTCTGTCCTCTTTATTATAAACTGAGTGAGGAAGTGAAAGTGACTAAAACAGGGTGGGGGGGGCTGCCTCAACAACTTTAAATAGCAGTTTGTCAGCCCTAAAATACGTGTACGTTTAAAGAGAGAGATTTGCTGAAATGCAAACAGACCCTGGGCCTCAGTTCTGAGAAAAATGATGAATGACCCATACGTCAGTTGTGCTTGAGTTTATAGGAAAATAATTTTATGCAAATTACATGCTATCTTCAACTTTCTGCATCATTCTGGGAGTTTTTATTTCACTCACTTCCTCTGAAAAGTCTTGTGATGACTGAGAGAGGACTAACACTTCCTCTCTGCTACTGGTAAAATCTTAAGACTGAGGGACTAATGTCTGTTGGAAAATCACCACTCAAATGCATTAAAACAGCATAGATGTGGTGGTGCATTGGTATACCTGTGAAGACATAGATGTTGTGGAGTACAAGCCACCAGAACGGTTAAAAAAAAAGCTTCTGGAGTGGAAAGATGTATGAAGAACGTGCAGCAAATACGAGGGGTCATTTGTAACGTGTCGAACAAGGTGGCTGTTATTAAGACTTTAGGACAGCTCTCACCACAAAGTCATGTTACCATCACTTGTCATTTAACTCAGAACTCAGATTTGAAGACCCCTGTCCTTTAGACCCTCAGGGCTGATGAATGTCACAATGCAGAAAACAGCAGTTCACGAGGTTTACGTTCGACCTATAATTTAAAAAATACACATTGACAAGTCATCGAAATATAAATATACTGAAAAGCACATCCCTTGATTAAATTATTTATATCAACAGTATGATTTTCAAACAGCCAGAAATATGTGGGACAGTAGGCGCATGAGCTAAAAACAGGAAGAGTTGTTTCATTAAAGTAGAATCTTGTTTCTCTGCATGGCTGATGTTACATGACAATGACTCAATGTTTTCAGAGAAAATAGATTTAACTGGAAAGCATCCTATTGCATAACTAGCTAAATGTTTGGTTTACGCTGGCATTTGGAGGAAATGTGTGGTGGAATAACTGCTGACTTTTCTTTTTGTGTGCTTTGATTCTGAAACTGTATCCATTTTATCATTGCCTGTGGTGAAGTTGTTCTTTTCGCTAACAGAATTGGATCCATTTTCTACACCTACATGTGTTGTAATGTGTCTTTTTTGTGCTCAGAATAAGAAAAGCCAGAAGGAAAAAAGAAGCATAATTTATTTGGTGAATCAAACTGGCTGCAGCTCGTATTGTCACACTGTCACATCAGTGTGAGAAAAATGAATGTTCTTAATTTCACGGATCCCCTTTTCACTTCCTCAGTTATATTGATTGTCTGTTGTCCAGCAAAAACACACACAATGCTTCAAAGGTACTGACTGAGGATGTATGCCACCGCTTTTATGTTAAAGTGTCCGCTCATTGTGTTACAAGGATCAGTTCTGCATTGAAACATGTGTTTTAAGAAAAACTGATTATAAGGAAAATTAATTTAAAGAAATACAACTTAAAGTTATCAATGCTTAAATATTTCCCCTTTTAATATTGCTCTACAGTCTGACAGTGATAGATAATATCATCTCTAATCATATGAAGATCAAATATTATCTCAAGTGGTCAATATTACTCGATGTTAAGTTGTTATCTTGTTGAGGTATCGCTCCTTTTTTAGTGATTTACAGTAATGATAATATAATTATTATTATCTGTTTTTTGTCCAAAGTAAATGTGAAGCAAAAAATATTTTATTTCATTACTTTTTATCTGGGATTCAACATTGAAACATACTTTTTGCAATAGCATACAATGTATGCAAACCAAAGAAAGTTCCCATAACAGAGTCAACAAAGGGGAATAGAGCTGACAGCTTGAAACTATGGTCAAGAGTATGATTGCTGGTTCAGTCAGTGGCCAACAGCAACAACAGCTGCACCAGCAGAGGTCACCGTTTGGAAAGAAAACTGTTACGGTCCCACATTTGTACCATCAGCAGACTCTACATATTCTCTACAGTGTGTGTGTGCTTACATCTTTCTACTGAGGGGATACAGCTGCAGTAAATCAAATGAAAATAACCAAAAACTTTTTCATCTTCAGTCTTTTCCTTTGTCTTAACTTACCTTTGTGTGTCTGCATCAATGTCTGTGCCCTTATGTGTGAGGTTATTCCTTAAACACACACACATTCCCAACCCACACATACTAATGTAGCACAGGTAATGAATCTTTAATGATTTGATTAAATTGAATAATGGACTAATCATACTTTCTCATTATGTGATCGCACTGACTGAAATTACTACAATGTGTTACCTTAACATCCCACTGCTTAACATTAATATGTATGAGAACTGTTGCAGTGTAGTAGTGCAGTGCTGCCTTTAAAGATGCAGAGGAAAGGAGACAGTGCAAGGTTTAATACCGACAATAAAGTTATTTTGTAGATGTTGAAAATGGAAATAGAGACGAAGATGGAAACAATTAAATGATCACAAAGCATTCAAACAAAAAACAAACATTTTCAGGCAAACGTCTTGCAGTTTCTTAAAGCTGTGGTGTAGGGGGTGTGGCCTCATGTGAGTACATTAAACTCTTCTAGAAAAGAATAATGTTACTTTTGATTTTTTTTTTTTTAAAACACAGTGTGAAATACTGAGTTTTCTGATTTTGAAGAGATTTTAAATAGATCCAAAAATGCCCAAAAGAACTGTACAAAGTATTTCCTTTAGTCTACTACAAGGTTAATGTCTAGATGTGTAGCTCCCCCTGCTGACTGGCTGCAGTATAGGTCATAAACTCCATGTTAACAGATGGAACATGGAGCAAATTTCAAACTAAATTACACGTCATGTGTTTTCCCCTCAAACATAGAATCTGTCATCAAGTAAGTTATGCTGATTTATGTCCAAGTGTTCACTTATATGAGAAGTTTAGTTTTAAAGCAACATTATTATGGGAGGAATCCAGTATGGTTGTTTGGCGCCCACTGAAGGTCCCTGAGTGCAAGTGCACTGTCGTAAAACACAGTGTGTTGATAAAGCCAGCTCGGCGCTGTTTCACCAAGCGCGATGCTGCGACCTGTCAAAGCCTGTAAACATGTTCTCCTGACTGGCTACCAACTCCGTCACTCTCTTTTCCTTTTCTTAGCTTCATCCGTCCTCTTTATGTCTCTTAGCCTTAGCCATTACATCAAACAGAACCAAGTGCAAGACAGCCATGGTCTCTTTTTAGCTAAAGGTAGGTGTGTGAACGAGTGCCATAAAGCCTTACACACTTCTCATTAGAGAACCGCGGTCATAGTGTTGAAAGCAGGTGACTGGGGCACTCTTTGGAAATGGGATGCACACCAGTCACCCTCTTTTAAGTTATCGTATTATTAGATCGAGTTTGACATTTTTTTTAAGGTGGAAACGTCAAGAACTGTGGCTTTAATTAGTTATTTGATGTGAAGAAGCAGATGTTCGACAAATGTGTCTCCTGCAAGCGATTTCTTCTGCCACGCAAATAAAGCACAGCTTACAATATCAACTTGAAATAAATGATATGTCACTTGTGTGTATGATAGTTGGTTAGTTTACTGTATGTTACTTGGTTCAGGCGGCTGTGGCTCAGAGTCGGTTGTCTCTCAACCGGAAGGACCCCTAGTGGAATAAAGAGTTAAATCATATAGGCTGTTAGCTGACTGCTTTTGCAACACAAAACAAAATGAAGATTAATTTTAAGAAAAACAGAAAGAAAGAAAGGAAATGGTTTGAGGCTCCAGTCAAGACAAATTCTCTTTGGAGTGGAGGTTTGGCTGCGGATTCTTTAAGTCTCCTCACAGCAGCTGGAGCAGAAAGTGTGGAGGTACTCCTTGTTTTCCAGAGTCCCCAGAGGTACACACACACACACACACACACACACACACACACACACACATGCTCCAGCAAACACACACGCTGTCCCTCCTTCCCACACACACGGCCTGATTAAATATCTTCTGAGAATATCTCTCTCCCCCCCCCTTATCTGCATGATTCCCTCGCTCCAGTGGGAAATACACTGATATGTGCGCGCGGAGCCACCCACGGGGCGCGTGCACCGTTTAATCATATCTGAGGTAGAGAGAGAGAGAGAGAGAGAGAGAGAGAGAGGTGCAGCCTAGTGTTGAGTCCAGTGTGACTTATCTTTCCTACTCTGCTGCTGTCGGTAACGGACCGGCTGCGCACACACCTACTCACACTCCTCTCTATCTCACACACACACACACACACACACACACACACACACACACACACACACACACCGGGAACACAGAACCGGACTGGTGCACTGGGGAAGAAGGGAGGGGAAGAAGAGGGCTGAAAGAGACACATGTCACACCGGACCGAGCTGTAGGGGAATGTACTGGACTCCCCTGCACACACACTGCCACGGGCTGTCCCGCACTGAGGCGTCCGCTGCGTTAACTGGACCGGACACGGACTGAGCCAGAGGCGGGCGTGGGGGGGGGGGGGGGGGGGACCGGACCGGGATAGAGGGGGAAAAAGAAAAAAGGAGTCACCTGGCTGCGGAGGGAAGTAAAAGGAGGGAGGAGGGAGGGAGGGTCGGACGGACGGGGAGCTGTGCCCGACTGACAGCGCGCAACGGAGAGTCGGTGCAAAGTTTCCTCGATGGCGCTGGTGATGGAGCCGGTGAGCAAATGGAGCACGAACCAGGTGGTGGACTGGATGAAAGGTAGTGGCTATTGACACACACACACACACACACACACACACACACACACACACACACACACACACACACACACACACAGCCAAATGTGTCTTAAACGACACACCTGGATGCAGATAAACAAACACTTGGCGCGCTGAACTGCTAATTGCAGGGGGAGACAGAGGCACGGAAGGTGTTTTTGTTTGTTGCGTGGGAAGTGTGTGCGTGTGTGTGCGTGTGTGTGCGTGTGTGTGTGTGTGTTGATGCATCACCCCCCGGCACCTGATGATCAGTGGATGATGATGTAATGTGTGAGTGACAGGTGGAGATCGAGCCAAACTTCACCGCTAAGAGCAGGGGCGGGGTTAGAAACTTTTACGAGGTGGGTGGGAGGTGGAGGCAGACTGTGCGTGTGTGTGTGTGTGTGTGTGTGTGTGTGTGTGTGTGTGTGTGTGTGTGTGTGTGTGGGGGGGGGGGGGGGGGTCGGGGACCAATGACAAATCTCTGTTTGAAAAAAACATGAATACATACCTGCTATTTTGTAATGCTTTACAGCCCTCTGTAGTCGTTTCTTTTCTTTTGTAGTAAATGTGTTTCTGTTGTTTTTATCTTTGAGGTTATTTTACGTGTCTGTGGTTTTATAGGTATTGTGTTTGTGGCTCTGTTTTCCATTCTGCCCCTCTTTTCAGAGAGTTTGGTCTTTCTTTGTGTTATTAATCACCTCTTTGTAGTCATTTGTTTCTCTTTTTGATGTAGTTTGCTTTATCTCTGTCGTCATTTTTCGTGTATTTGTAGGCGCTGACTGTTTGTGGACAGTGATCAATATGTCTTTATGTGATGCTTTATGCCTTGTTGTTATTTTGGGAGGTCATTTGTTGGCTTTTTGTGGCCACTATGCCTCTCTGTGAGGTCGTTTGTCCTGATTGTTGTCATTACATGTCTCTTTGTCGTCATGTAGTATTTGTATTCATTTTGTGGTTGGATGTGTTCGTGATCTTTCCTCTGCAGTCGTTATGTTTCTCTTTGTGGTTGTTTTGAGCCTCTTAAAAATGATTTTGTGTCTCCCTGAGGTCGTTTTGATGTCTCTTTGTGGTCATTTTGCATCTCACTGCATTTATCTTTATTTGATTGACCTTTCAACCAGTAATGTTTATTACCCAAATCATACAGAAGTCTGCTCTCTACCAATCCAACGTCCTCTTACTCTCATGATTTGCACCAGAGACGGACATGCAAGCAGAATCGAGCCCAGTTCACTCATCCTTTTAGACCGATAATAGTCCTATCGATTTCAGTTCACCTAATCTTTAATGCTGTCAAATTGAGAATAGGGAATACGAGCACTAGAAGACAGTGCTTTAAGAAGATGACATCAATTAAAATCTCACACACACAAAAAAAACAACACTAAATGAGTATTTAGCCCAAATTGTGATTGGGCTTTGTTTACACAGGAGCTTGTGATGTTGCAGATAATAGATTAGGGATTTTAGTTATGCATAATTCAAGAGCAAGGCTGATTGGGTCTGCACCCAGGGGCCTTTGTAATCATTATAAAAGTCTTTTACACATAAAAAAAAGAGGAACATTGTGATCTCCAGATTCTGCACTGCTGTTCACTGTGCACTTTTTTTTATGTGGCCAGTGCAGATGTTATCATTACTCTTCATTGTGTGCATAACAGCACAGAGTTTCACAATAATATGTTTATAAAATGTTAGAAAACAGACTCGTGGTTCTCTTCAGGCTGTTTTGCCCCAATCATCTCCCGTCTTTTTTTTTTTTTATCTCATTCAGCTCGTCTGTAACATAAATGGTAACATGCTGTATTGATGTATCAACTCACGGGGGTTCATGCATTATCACTCAAGCCTCACAAAAACCACCAGACTAAAGAAAAAACCTGCTGCAGTGAGGACCCGTCCATTAATCTGATTTATTATCGAACTTCATTTAAGTTCAATTAACAGCCAAGTTTAAGCTTTAATGGACGCCAATACTGCAAGTGCAAGTTCCATTACAAAATGTGACATATATCCAGTTCTGCAATGAAAGGAAAGTCATGCACCACTTTGTTAAAGAGTTTGTGCTTTTTGTGTCAATTATTCGGTGTAAAAGAAAAACTTGATCAGCAATTATAATTTGTGAAGTAGTGAAATAGTCCATTGAAAGGAAATGACAACACAGCTTTTTAGACAAAGGACATATCATTGAATTCCTCTTTCAAGCTACAATAGACATCTGATTTATAAATACAACAGTTTTAATACAAGTTTTTTCTTTAAAGGCTTTACATGCGATTTTTCACACTTAAATATAATAGAAATCAAGTATATCCTCTGAAAATAACTCTGTGAGTCATGACTGTCTACAATGGGTGTAACACCCGAGTCCCACTGTCTGTGATGTTTTCAGAGTTTTCAGAGTCCTATCTTCAGTTTGTTTACATCGCCGGGACGGCCGGCTGACTCCTCCCCTCGTGTATAAAAGTTGTTTAATTGAGGGACTAGAGAAAAGAAGAATAACATACTGTACTCACTGCTTAACTGTGTTTCTAGATCACGCTCATTTCAGGTAAATTTACATGCAGTGTGAAGATACCAGCATAATAAAGATCGCTAGCATTAGCATGCTAACACAACAATGCAGCGCAAGTTGTTTTGGTTTCATGCTGGTGCTCAAGGCGACATCTGCTGGATCAAAAAATCACATATAAAGCCTTTAAGGATCAAAAACAAATAATAAGTAGCAAATTAGTTTTTAATCCATATACAAGTTTTAGAGCTTAAGAGTCAGTTGTTGGCATCACATCTTTTAGCTTTAAGCGGATACTATTAGTTACTATCACACTTCATGTTTGAGTTACCTGAAATGTGATGGAATCAGGGGGCGTTAATGGATGTAAAGGATTGTAAAAAGTCATGAAAGTTTTCCAACTTCAAATCTTTATTTATAGAATCTAACACTCAAGAGGTAGGGAGTAAAAAGTTTATATATGGAGACCTTGGTAAGCTTCAATTCGCAGCACTTCCAATGGAGTCTCATAACAAACTAGAAATTATTTCTTATTAAGATAATTTTCCTGAAATAACGGGCCAAATGTTGTTCAAGAATAGCCCCCCAAAAAATGCAGTAATGCTTTTCCTTCTTTAAATTAGGGATGTTCCTGAGTGACTATTTTCACTGTTGAGATCTTGAGTCAAGTCGTAGTCTTTGCTCAGTTTAATTCTTGTGCAAGTAGAAGGAGAAAAAGAGAAACAGTCTTTATATAGTTGTATCTAAAGCGAGGGGTGGTTATCGACAACCTCTGTTGTCGGGCAGATTTAAGTCTAGCCAGTGTCTTAGTCAAAAGAAAAGCAGAAGTTCATGCGGATGTTTTCTTGTAAAAACGGAAGTTCATGTGCAGGTAACGTTCTCCAATGAAGAACAGAAAATACAGGGGCACGATGTGAAATTGAAAAACAATACTTTTGCATCAGCATTATGATGTTTCCATGACATAGCTTCTTTGACCGTTAACAGCGCCACCATCAGGTCAATCTCTGACATTTCTCACAGGCAGCACCAGGATGCATCATCGCTCCGTGTCTCTTCTTGCTTTCCAAAACAAAACACTGCCTGATCCAAGGTCCCACCCTCGACATAAAAATGTGAAAAATGACGAATAACAACTAATATTAGCAAGAATTGTTATTCATCATGTTTGTTTAACACATAAAAAGCAGGTCAGGGAACTATTGAATCACACACTGCTTCAATAAGATGCAAAATTGAGAAATCGTGACAAGGATTTATTAACATGTACTGTGTCAGTTTCTCAGAGCCTCATCACTGGAAGGGTTATCAGTTGGTCATGTGCATATGGCATGTGTTTATATGTGCCCCTGTATGTGTGTGTGTGTGTGTGTGTGTGTGTTTGCAGCCAGTGTGTGGGTGGATGGTGAGTTGTTCGTCCCAGACCGTCTGTGCAGAACAGCTGACAGACACACACACACCAGCTCTGAACAGAAGGCTCCACCCGGGTCCTCGGACATTTGCTATTGCACACACACAAACACTAATATACACAAACAGACAACACACGTGGCATGCCTGAATGTGGCATTCGGTTCATGCTGGGTCTCTTGGGTGTGTCTGCGGCGACACAGGGAAACATGATATACTGTATTTGTGTGTGTGTATACAGTAAAATGTGCAGTTCACATATGCCAGAGGGTCAAAAGGTCTGCGTATTGTCGACTTGGCAACAGCGCTGCATTGGCACGACTAGGGCTCAAACAATATGGGAGTGGTACACTTCAATAGTAATGTGAGAACTTACCGTGCATTGCTGGGGCTGCTGGGAATTCTCACCCCTATGTCCTGTTGTCACTTTTCATACTGGAATTTTTTTTTTTTTTACCTCATTTCCCTTGCATGAATTTGATAGCCAGACTCTAAAAAAATCAGGAGGGAAATTGCCGCTACAGCATGCGGGAACATCTGATGACACCGTTTACCAGGAGAGAAAGCTGCCAGAGTGATAGTCACACGTCTTTAGGATCAGAGGGGGTTTCCGTCTGTCGGATTGATCTTTTTTAGAATTGAAGGTGAGGCATGACGAGACTGGATTGCTTTAAACATCCGCCAGTTTGCATCAGAAAATCAGACTGTGTTTGTTGGCTCTTTTGACTGCACTGAGCAAAACATGGTGTGTGTGTGTGTGTGTGTGTGTGTGTGTGTGTGTGTGTGTGTGTGTGTGTGTGTGTGTGTGTGTGTGTGTGTGTGTGTGTGTGTGTGTGTGTGTGTGTGTAGGTGAATTAAGGTTTTCAGCCATTCATAGGCCAAAGAGTCCGAGCCGCCCCTTCAAAGTCACTCCAGCGTGACACACTTCTAGGTCAGGGCATTAAGTAGCAGGGACTTTAAATGCATTGATTAACATTGTGTTGTGTTCAATGACTTTCTTATTTTAATATTTTAAACCCTATGCTCCCACATAATTTAATATACATAATTATGAGGGTCAAGGTGGGAAACCTGTC